AATGTAACATGGGACTACTCATGGGCCAAACCGTTTTCTCGCCCATGGGCGAAACATTTCAATATCGCTATAAAATTGTTGAATTAAGTTCAAATGAGTAAATTGTTTTGTCATGATACTTGAAGGAATACATTTATGTATTTGCGAAACAAAAACATGAGTTTTGAGTAAAGGAAGATATTCTTGCCCATTGGCCACTCTTCGCCCATGGGCAGGCCCATAGGTCACACTTCGCCCATGGGCGACATAGTGTAAATATTGAGTTTTTGAACAATTTTATTTTCATTTTTCCTTCCTTAGTATTTTCCCATGAAAACAGCATGTTTAATTTTGTAAATACCTTTGACCGAGAGTGGGCAAACTCCATAGAGTTTCTGGACTATTGGGTTTCCAGAATCAAAATGGGACGTGTTTAGTGTAATTTGATGCGTTTTTCATTTGAGTTGATATGTAGGTCAGTTTGACAAGAACTATAGAAGTAGTGCCAATCTTTATTGCTGTTTCTTATTATGTGTGTGGCTATATTTCATAGAATCAATGCTTCACACTAGTATTTTTTCATACTTAAAAGAGAAATGAGATAAAATAATTAAGATTTATTTCTAATGAATATTTAATCATGCATGATTTTTTAACCGAATTGCTACTTACAAAATCTTACCACACTTGTACCACACCACACCACACACAATGTTTAAGACACTTAAGTAGGAATTAAACGGAATGTTGCCTGAATAATACGTGTAACTCTTCCGTTTCGTTTTTATGTTTGAGATAGTATTCCACCTAACCAGGGGAAGTCACTCTTGCTTAGTGCTCGTAGTGAACTGAACGAAGTAATGTTTATACCTGTTGTAGTTTGTCTGTGGTCCTTGGAGAGGACGCACAATTTGTGTTAGGATCCATCTCCGACAGGTGACAACTCACTGAAAGCTGGTTCCCCTCAAACATCCGACATAACCCACTTGTGGTCAAAATGCAAAGTGTCAAGCACCTTCGTAACGCAGGACACGGCACAACTCCGCTGTGTTATGGGTCTCAACTCCTGCTCAAGGATATCACAAATATAAACAATACTGTTCCTGTCAAATCTGTAGCGCTGTATCAGTTCATTATCATCTATGAATGTAGTACATCTCTTCTCTCATTAAATATTTTTGGATAACGTCTGGCAGCCATTTTGTTTTACGTCACTTAAGTCAAACATATATGATTGAAGTCCAACAAGGTGAGTCTTAATAGTTACGTCAAAAAGTGACAAAACTTAAGTCTAAGTCTTTTGTTAGATATGTCTGAAGTTCTTCCACCAACCTAAAGTCAATAAAACAGTTTTTTAACTGACTTAAGTTTTATTTATGACTTCTGTTGTTTGATAAATACGGCCCCAAGATTCAAGCCTAGTTCGGCAAGGCTTGAAACCCTTGCCCCGGGAAGATGCAGAACACAATGTCTTAACTTAACAAGGCGGTGGGGAAGGCTGATGGTAAAAGCGTTCGCTCGTCACGCCGATGACCGCCGTTATAGTGCTGAAATATTGCTCATAACGGCCTAAAACCACACTCACAGACTGATCACAACAAAGTATTATAGTGCAAAACTACGAAAGCCTAATGATGTCACTTTGGTAGCATATACATATTTTTAAATTGAAATTTCGCGTTATTTCAATTATTTGTTATTTTCGCGAAATTTCGAGTTTTTTTTTATCGTTACTTCGATGATATTTTCGCAGTTTCGATTACTTTCTCGTTATTTCAAGTATATTTTCAAGAACTCGAAATTTCGAGAGACTTATTGCAATAAAGAGAAAGTAATCGAAATAACGAGAACAAAATCGAAATTTCGAGCTTTTGAAATATACCTGAAATAACAGGAAAATAATCGAAATAACGAGAAAATTTCGATTTAAGAAAAATGAATTAATTCTACCAAAGTTACACCATCCTACGAAGCAGTTTGGATGAGAGAAAAGGAGACGTCTGTATGATTAATCTGACGACCAAAAGAAACTTTTCAACTTTAAAAATGAAATTACAAAAAATGAAAAACACAAGTTCAAACTTAATCAATACCAAACACAACAATGCTCAATGCCGAAACTACCCGAGCAATAAGGGTATAGAAATTATACGGACGTCATGTCAGACACTCACAAATTAAAAAACCAAACAGAAATGACACAACTGACACCCGAACAACTGGAGCGGGCCCTGGGTATGATACAGATGGGAGCCACATATGCCTTAATTGCTTGAAGTTTTTTTGACTTCCGTGTTGCTGCAACTATCCTGATGCAAGTTAACGTTACAGACAGACAGGGGAAACATTAGACAGTCCAAGGACAGGCAGACCAGGGTAACTTCACCCAATGGAGTCCGGTACTTGCGTACTTTGCATCTCTGGAACCGATTCCTAACAGTGACGTCATCAGCGACGAATGCCGTAAGGCATTTGGTTAGTCGTCAGTGGCCAGGCGATTCGGGGCGCAAGGAAGTAATGCTTACATACCTTATAGAGGACAGTTAGTGACAGCGCAACATTGTCGTCAGATCGGCCCGGACTGTAAGTCGTTGGCACAGATGAAAACCGGTTCTGTCTGTTCAGAGCTGCTGGAAGACAACGTGTTTACCACCGAAGGGGAGAACGACCTACGGCATGTTGCGTTCAGGAGGTCGTGCTGTATGGTGCAGGGGGTGTTTTGCCCTGGGGAGAAATTTTTGGGCAGGAAAGAACACCACTGGTCACCGCTCTCGGACATTTGTCAGCTCAGTGTTACGTGGACGACATTCTTCGCCCCACTGTCCTTCCATGTCTGCAACGCCTGCCACGTGGTGTCCTTCATCAGCATGACAAACTTCCTTGCAACCACCAATGTGTTGCCGTGGCCTGCACGCTCCACGGGCATGTCATCCATAGAACACCTCTGGAAGGCCATGGATCGTCGTGTTCGAGAGCGATCAATTCCTCCAGACACCCGACAAGAACTGATCCAAGCCCTCCAAGAAGAATTGCGACGTATCCCGCGCGACATCATCTAACGACTGCCTTTTTCTCTGCGCCGGGGAGTTTTGGCGTGGGGATGGTCAAACACGCTATTAATGTGACGTTTAGATTTGAGATGTGTGTGCCTTTTCCATAACGTTGAAAGCTCGTTTGTGCTGCCCTACTTCAATTGGGATAACTGTCATGCCAATATCGGATGATTTGTGACTGTCATTATAAATGTTAAGTGCAGGATCCGCTAACTGTGGTTTCGAATCCCGGATTAGTACTTGTGGTACACCTGTACCAGACCTGTAATCGTGGGTTACCGATGTGGTTATCACCACCACCGTAGTTTAATGAATAGAGAGCGGAGAGCAGAGAGCAGAATGTGGTTGGTTCGATCCCCTTGCGGCGTCATAGCAAATGATGGAACTTGTTACCCTGAAAGATGGTACTTGTTACTGTGCTTGGCGTTTGGCATTAATGGGATAAAACAAGGAGTCCGTATACATTGTCTTTGCATTGGTAGGTATCCATGCATGGTATTTTTGTAGGCTGCACTATAAAACAATAACAATCGACACACAGACACACACACACAGACACACACAGACACACACACACACACACACACACACACACACACACACACACACACACACACACACACACACACACACACACACACTTTCATGGTTCATTCAGGAAAACTTCCTTGTCCGCTTCAAGGCAACTGTATTGGTATTTGTTCGGAGTCAATCCTACGTCAACAAATGATCATTTGTTGACTATCACCATTATTTAAGCATGTGACTGTTCAATGAGAATAATGTTGAGTGTGGGCTGTGTTAGGGACTGCGTTACCTCGGGCTTTCCCCTGACAATAGCCAACGGGAAATGACATGACAGAACACTGTTGCAAGCGGCGTTGTACGATTATTTGCGATGTTTGTTATTCCTGGTATGAAGGTGTCGATTCCCCTATAAATGATATGCTCATCCGCAGAGCAGCGCAGCGTCCAGGAATTGAAATAGAAGCGGACTATAGAGGGTTAGAGTCCCCGATATTGATCCTTGGTTTGTCATTACTATAGCCCCGGTTGCATGGGTTAAATGTTTTTGGCATGTCATGATATAACTACAATACCCAATGAGACGGCTAGAACTCACTCCCTCTCCATTCCACTAAGTGACAAAGTGACTAAGTGAAATATCTATAACATCAACCCAAAACAATCGTTGAGACCATTGTGTAGAACATTTATTTAATCACATATTTTAGTTCATTTTTATTACTAGTCTTCTTTTACAAAATCTGATTTCAAAGCTAAATGAACTCGGAAGTGGCTCTTCTAGATTCACCACTGACAATAATCTACCCAATATTGAAAAAAAATCGGTACCCATCAGGTGACTTTACATCGGCGTCACTGTCATCATCACCGCGTTCCTCAAGTAGTATCACGGAGATGGCCTTACAGCTCAAAACAATTATGTCATGAAAACACTTTTCCCATGGTCGTTGATTTTCCTATTGCACCTCATTGTACAATACAATTACATAAAAACGTCCGCAATATGTTGCTTATAATATCCTTTCAGATTAAATATGCACGACTCATTGTGAATATCTCTGTATATACAACTGCATTGACATAAATCCCTTTGTCGATTTTGTCGAGCGTAAGCGTTCAAACTTGTACTCAACGTCGATGTGAATAAATTCGTTGATCGTAAGGACTGCTCGTTCAAACTGATATTATTTACTTTTTGTAGTCGGTATTGTTGCGTGCTCCACTAGATTTTTGTAGTGGAGACAGGGTTGAAAAACTTCGTGCAGCAGGTGCCCGTCACAACTATATTTACACTGAAATCAACTTCCTGGTTTCCCTTACCCAATCGCACAGCACCTGCCCGCGTTTTGTGCAATTGAGCTGAAACTTAGTTCAGTCATGTAAGACGTCGCTCAAGAATATAGCTATACAACAACTTTGGAAAAGAATTTATTCCTCAAAATGCCGGGAAATCATTTTCCGGCAATTTGTCGAATAGTTGTTTTACTGACATGTGCTTCTTCAAGTTTCATTAACTTTGAACCGGGGTTTGAATATCAGTACAAGTATGATTCTAACGCAAACGTGAAAAATATTGGAGATTTTCAAGTATTAGCCAAGGTGAGTTGTTGAGTCCTATTATATTTCTGTATTGCTTATTTTTCTAAATCTGCGACAAAAAGTAATCAAAACATCCTAATAGGAAGAATTACATGAATACGTCTAAATGGATGGAAAGGATTGACCGAGTATTCTTGGACAAAGTAAATAACACATTAATTACACTGGATGTAGGTTTGTTGAGATGAAGCAGCCATTCCCAACCCAGTGAGATTGCTGCTTCTTTCCGATATTTTATGATGTACTTATTCACCTTTATTTAAACAGTTGCTATATTCATTTCTCAGTATCTGTTTACCTTAAGGGTCCACTATATCTTTCGTGTATAGAGTTAGTAACTGAGACAGAACTAAGACAAAACCTTAACAGTGTCTTAGGGAGTTGAGCGTCGTTAACAGTGTTTCAGTTGTAACACATTTTCAGCTAAAAGTGGAACGAAAACCCGAAGTGATGCAGGTCTTAGACATTTACCGCTTAGGTGAAACCCACGAGTCTGGTAGGCCTCTGGGAAGCAACTCTACTCAAAGATTTGTGGCGCGGCGACTTAGCGACGCGTGCTCATATACTTAATACGGCATGAAAACTGAATATAAATGCTTTCAAATATTATAGAGAAATAAGTAGTTGGCAGACCACAATTACTCAGATTTGTTGGCATGGTGACGGTGTCATTACAAGGCGATAAACTTAAATGCTAGAAATCACACACTTTTAATATTTTGAAAAAGCTGAAACACCCCACGCCTGAAATCAACTGAACTTCGCGATCGTTACAAGTGAGAAAAGTCGACACCACCCTACGACGAGGTGGCACACTCAGCATACATAATATGTATCGGGATAGAAACAGTGAATTCTATGTAAACGAACAGTGAATATACATTTGTACACATTAATACACAATCAAACAAAGGTAGGTGTGAACTAAATTTTTATTTCATAAATATCTTTAATGTGTGTTAATCACGCAAATAATAGAATATAGGCGCATACACGCCAGCAAGCACTTAGTGGTATATTAGCAAGAGTATCTACGTTTATATACTCAACAACAAAAGTTCCTGTGACACCAATATTTTAGTGTATTTTTCATACACGTAAAGTGTGGTTTTCAATATTGTAGTACATGTATGGAATCAAGTCACAAGAACGCAACTGCTACAGAAAAGCATGCATTCCATGCAAACGTTGACTTTTATGCAAGCCCCATGCATTTCACTACCCAAGAATGGGTAATAAAAACATGTGCGTTAACGGGATTTAATATGCAATGCTTAGCATCGTGCTGACAACAACCACTCAGAAATTGTTTTACGATTGTATTGAATTACGCAATTATTCAACATTACCAAATGCCACGCCTGTCCGAAAATGAGCGTCTGCGAGCCATTGGTATGCTTGAAGCAGGCTCGAGTCAACGTGATGTTTAAAGACAATGTAACGTCCACATAAACACCATTTGGTGTTTATGGCAACGTTGGCAACAGACGAATGCAGTCAGAGACCACCCTCGGAGTGGCAGGCCACGCGTAACCAATAATCGAGAAAACAACTGGATTCGAACAACACACCTACGAAATCGATTCAAGCCAGCAACAGTGACTGCAAGAAGCACCCTGGCCTTCGACGAATATCTTCACAAATCGTACCGTCGCCGCCTCAGATGTGCAGGTTTTGTCGCCAGTGGACCCGCCAGATGTCCCATTTTGACAGGAAACCACCGTCAAGCACGTCTACAGTGGTGCAGACAGCGTCTACGCTGGACGGCCATGCAGTGGGGACAAGTTCTATTCACTGGCGAGTCTCGTTTTCACCTAAGCGACAGCGATGGACGGATTCGAGTGTACCGACGTCGAGATGAACGTTACGTCCATCATTGTGTCATGGAAAAAGATCGGTTCGGGGACGGCAGCGTTATGGTGTTGGGTGGGATAACAGCAAGACAGAGGACCCGTTTGATAGTGTTAGAGGGAAATCTCAATGGACAGCGCTACCGCGACGACATCATCGGCCCTGTTGTTCTACCGTTTTTGCGTCGTCATGACCCAGGCATTACCTTTCAACATGACAACGCCCGGCCTCATATTGCTCGACTTGTTAGGATTCTCTTCAACAAAACAACGTGAATGTCATCCCCTGGCCGGCTCACTCCCCTGATCTCTCACCAATGGAGCACATGTGGGATGAGATGGATCGGCGCCTTCGCCGTCAACCACGTGTTCCACAAACACTCCAGGAACTTCGAAACATGCTCCATATGCAGATATGGACAGATATCCCACAGGACTTTGTTCGACGCCTGGTCCATTCCATGAGCCGAAGATGTGTTGCTTGCATCGCAACCAGAGGTGGACACACACGCTATTGATTTGTAAATTGACATTTTTATGAAATCACGCATTTTCTGAAGTCAGTATGGCAAATAAAACCATTTGAACACTTACAGGAGTCTTTTGTCTATTGCAAACCGAAATTGTTTCAGATTTGGTAAAAAACATATCTTTGCATTAAATCTTATTCAATTTCACAAGAACTTTTGTTCAGTATAGGATAAAATTCAAAGTGAGTTCTACCCTAGAACCTCATGTGTACATTGGCCTTCTGGATGACCTTTGTGCTTCTTTGCTGAATACGGTGACCCTAACAATATGCACTGGTAGAATGTACATGGTAGATTTTTAAGCATGAACTGAAGTTTTCTAGGAAGCGTGGGCTGACCTTTACAATTGTAATTCCAAGAAGTCTCGATTTGTTATGCCCGTCACTGGTGACAACAGCGACACAAATGTTTTTGATGAATATAAAAAGGATCGTTCTGTATCACAGTGGCGCATCTGAAAAACAAGTTAATGACTCCGTATGTTTGGTTTTACAAGTAAATTGTCAAGCCACGTGGTGATTTCAGTGCAGATTAGGCCCAAATGCTTTTTGCTTGTTGTAAAAACACCTTCTAGATCAGTCGGGCGGACACGCTACAAACACTAATTATTATTGAAACATGGAATGTAGGCGTTGTATTTGCTCGTAATTTGTCAAGCTCGTGGTGATTTCAATGTAGATCAAGATTAGGCCATGTGGCTGGAGCCAATGAATATGACGATCATGATCAGGTGGTCTGATCCAGCTAATTGTGTGAGGTCTTATCCCCACGGCGTGTATCGATACATCTATGTAAGGACATATCACAACAATCACTCACTAACTCTATTCTCGAGGGTGGGGTGGATGGAAGGGATGATGAATTGTGGTTCAATCGAACCCTGTTGTCTCGAACTCGGATCTGTCGAATTCCCGGTTGTGTTAGTAGTATGGCTTCTAACCATCAACATTGTTAAAATGACCTGAATAGTTTCTCCTTTCTGGTGCCAATTTACATAGAAACTTTCGGAGACGTAATCCCGTTCTATACTGAACCACATTTTGACCAGTTATCATTGTGGGCCCTAATTGTGTATTTAAACAGTAATGGCCACGTATTCTCTTCAAATAACATCCGTGTTTGTGCAGTTGAATGGATCAAAATCATGTGCACAGCACTGTAGTGGCAAAAGTGTTTTTTCACGTGCAACTGGTTACGTCGCCATAATACCGCACGTGTTTTCAGCCATACTTGTTAGCAGTCATTAAAAAAAAGAAAAACACAAGAAAACAAAAGTCTTTACGGACATTTGTCATGCCACGCCTTTCAAATGTGCAACGTGAACGTGCCATCGGCATGTTGCAGGCGGGAACGTCCGTAGCTGAAGTCGCAAGGACGATGGGTTGTAGTCGACGGACTGTTTATGATTAACAGACGCGTCTACAGCAAACGGGTACCACCGATGATCGCCCTCGGCCAGGTCGACAATGTGTGACGTCACATGCAGAGGATCGTCAGTTTGTCTTACGTTACCTCCGTAACCGATTTTTGACGGCTACATCAACCAGAAATGAACTGTTTAGGGGTAGACAAAGTGCGCAAACTGTTCGCAACCGTCTGAGAACTGCTCACCTTCAAGCACGACGGCCATACTGCGGGCCGATTCTGACGCAATTACACAGACGTCAACGTCAATTGTGGGCACCGCGACACTTACGATGGACTCAGAGGAATTGGAATCAAGTCGTCTTCAGTGATGAATCCCGATTTAATCCTTGATTTGCTGATAGTAGGGCGAGGGTGTGGAGGCGCCGTCATGAACGTTACGCCCAGTGTTGTGTACAGGAAGTTGACAGATTTCGAGGCGGAAGTGTCATGGTGTGGGGTGCTTTCTGTGGCAATGCATGTTCCAGGCTTCTTGTCATCCGTGGCAACCTCAACGCTGCTGCTTACCGCGACCAGGTACTGGCACCAGAACTTCTGCCTTTTATGGCAGCACATGGACCCGGTTTGATCTTCCAACACGACAATGCCAGACCTAACACAGCAATTTTGACAAGGAATTTCCTTCAGAATGCGGGAGTCAACGTCATGGACTGGCCGTCAAGGTCTCCCGACCTCAATCCCATCGAACACGTCTGGGATGCTCTTGGCAGAAGTCTGCGCACTCTCCAGAACCAACCACAGAATTTGCAAGATCTTGGTACCATTTTGCAGCAACAATGGCGTCGTCTTCCCAATCATGTGTTCACAAGCATCAGAAGGTCCATGCGGAGGCGTTGTGTGGCAGTTGTCAACGCACATGGTGGCCATACACGCTACTGAACTTGTATGCCATCAGATTTTCGTGCTTGGGACTTATGATTTAAACTGTTGATGTTATTACCGAATACCGTAGGTGATTGGAACAAATTATGGTTACCACCGTTGATTTACATCCTTCTTTGGACATTAATGATTAAAAATTATCTTCTCTGATACATTTGTCTGTTGTATATCATATATGGGATTACTTTTAAAAATGTGAAGTTTCAAATTTGACTCAGTATAGAATTAGAATGTTATTGTGAGTGTAATCATTGCTTATCCAAGAGGGTAAAGTAACCCTATATTTCAGCATTAGGCTTAGGATAGTAGCAGCATTACGATCGCTTTGACAAGCCCCACAATGACGTTATACAACACGAGCTCAGAATTAACCTCTCAATGTATTCAGGGTGCCAGCTGAAGCTAAGAAGCACGCATTTGTTTTGCGTCTGCCTCGTATGTCTGATCAGGGGATCCAGGGACAAACCGACTCCTGTTGCTCAGTGATACCCAATTTCCCTTTGTGCTATCGATTTTTATGATCATGACCTATATATACGACCCGTAAAAATTTTAAAACGATGTTGGGAAAAGATGCATGGCCTCATAAAATATCTGTTGAGAAAAACTGTTTTGATTGAGGACTAATCACTTACATGGCGACTGCGTTGATTAAGATGATCAGGTGCATTGTCTACGTAACTACAATATATGTTAGGGGCCTCCTGAGTTAGTTTGAAACAGCGTATGTTGTGAGTCATACCACCCATGCTGGATTTAACGAGTGAAAAGATAATTTAAACACCACATCGTTTCAGCCGAACTTGGTATCGAGTTATCCATATTTGGAGACAAAGTGAGTGAGTAAGTTTGGGGAAACGTTTTAACAGTACTTTAGTATAAACAATATCAATACACTCATCAATATTCCAGCTATATGACGGCGGTCAGTAAATAATCAAGTCAGCACCAGACAATCAAGTGATTGGTATCATGAGCATCGATCCAGGCAACTTGGATACGATGACATGCATCACCCAAGTCAGCGAGCCTGATCACGTTGGTCGCCTCTCACGTGAAGCATAGTCCCCCTTTACGGCAAGCATGGGTTACTGAAGACCTATTCTAACCTGGATCTTCACGGGTCCGACGTAAAATAATATGCTTCATATGAAATAAAGTAACTTCGCTTCAGAGGGTAACGTTCCAAGGGGGCAGTTACATCATCCGGACTTCTTGATAAAGGAATCATCGCGAACTAGTAAGGTACCATTAACTTGCATGCACGCACGCACGCACGCACGCGTTTCAAACAATAATTTTCTAAAAGAACTAACGAGGTTAGTTAGATCAGTTTTATTTTTATATCCAAAGTAATAAGACGACATTTTTTTTTATTTCTTTGCTTACGGATGCGTCGCTCTTTCAAAGTCCAAATGTTGAAAACAATGCAAAAAATAATCCTGTATATTACTGCCAGTCCGTACACAAAACGTTCAAACAAAACAAAACATCGTTTCTTCGTTGAGTGTAAAGCAAAGGGAAGTCTCTTATATGTCTCGCTGGCATCCTTCTCTTATACCACCAAAGAGTGTCAACTCAAAATGTAGTGGTTTCATTGTACGATTGTTTCAGTTGGAAATGCCTGAAATGTCGATGTCATCCTGTTTAACCCTCGGCGGTTATGTTGTTGTTGTTGTTTAACGCCGCACTGAGCAATATTTTAGCTTTATGATGGTGGTCTGTAAATAATCGAGTCTGGACCAGACAAGCCAGGGATTGACATCATGAGCATGGATCCACGCAATTTGGATACGATGACATGCATCAACCAAGTCATAGAGCCTGACCACTCGATCCTGTTAGTCGCCTCTTACGACAAGGATAGTCGCTTTTTACGGCAAGCATGGGTTGCTGAAGACCTATTCCACCCTGGATCTTCATGGGTCTCGGCGGTTATATCCAAAAACGGTGTACGTTGTATCATATTGTTCTTGTATTACATGTTACAGTCACAGCCTAACACCACATTTTGTCTTATTCAATCTCTAGCTGGTATGTCATATCCTATAATAAACTTCGGATATAACCCCTCTGGCCATTGTTTCGCGAATCATGTTTGGGTGTAACACTAGATGAAGACACCAGGAGCCACTTGCACAAAGCGATTTTAGCGCTAAGACTATTGTAAACCTATGTTAAAGTATGGGAGTTACGATCATCTTAGCGCTGAGATCGCTTTGTGCAAGTGGGCCCAGGTGGTACATATGACATGTGACGTATGTATACGTACAAGGTAAAGTGTTGCAGCTATTTATTCTTACCGTAAGAGGCCACTGAATGGAGCGTGTTGCAAGGCTCTGGACTTGGTTGACAGCGTGTCATCGTACCCCAACGTTGCCGTTGGTGTGGCGTTAAACAACAAACTATTTTCATAAGCTACACATTTGTCTTTTTTCTTCCCCAACAAAACCCTTTTGACGCTTATGTAATGTATGTCCTCGCTGTTTGTGCGCATGTGTTAATACACCTTTTTGTTACGTTCATACACAATGTTGTCGAACAATTCGAAGTATGGGCTGAGCTTTTCTTAAAAGTAATGTCACTTCTAAAGGCTTTATGGCGTTTTCATTGTTCCGTTACAGTTCAGTACATAATATAAGGCTATAAAGAGTATATAGTGTTCTCTGGACAGAAGGATAATAGGTTGTAGAAAATGAATAAAAGTTATACTGAAAGTTGAATATTGCTTTCCTAGCTGAAGTAAACGTAATATAATATTGAGGCAAACACAGTCCCGAAGGGGAATATGATTATTACTTATAATGGAGTCTAAATTCTTACGAATAGGATTTAAATTTGCTTAACATGACACTGTCAGTGGAAAAGACAAAAGAAATATACTTTGTTCAAGATATTCGCCTTACAAACTTCAATGTAGCTTTAAAACAGCCATGTGATGTCTCACTCGCATCTTCAAAAATTGCAAAACAGTTTACAAGTATATTAAAAAAAAGATATCAATATTGGAGCCTTATATAATTGAAATACTGACATATCCCTGAGTGGCATATCCAATGTGTTACACTTCCCATTTGTATACACATCCTAGTACAACAGAGGGCATGGATGAGTCCGCTGTAACCGTTGATTTCTTACATCTCTGAAACCTAAAGACGTCAACGTAAATATAAAACGTCAACGCCAAAGAATAACCAGTCTCGATTATCGGACGAAGTTAACAGCTTCCATTGGGCATGAAAACAACTTCTGGAACATGAATAATGTTATATGAAACTCTGAATATTCACATAAAGATGACGCACGCACGCACGCACGCACGCACGCACGCATGCACGCACGCACGCACACACGCACACACACACACACACACACGTGCATGTACGTCACTATATAAGTGCCATAACCCAATTTCACCTCACCTCACCTCACCAATATCAATTCATCTTAAGAAAACTTAAATGTGTCAACGCATTATCCCTTCCAAATTTTTGTGGTAAGATTTAGGATTTGGATATCGCAACCTTTAACATGTGCTGTGTGCCTGGTTGAGAGTTAAAGTGTGATACAACACTAATACAGGTTATGAAGCTGATGTGCTCACAATATTGAGGAGCAGGTCAGGGAAAAAACGCAAATGCGTATGATTCAAAACATTTAAACTGTATTTGGATTTTATGCAAACGGTATTATGAATACTTTTCATTCTTGCATGGAAAACCCTGCTCGCACAGAGATAATGTCTAGCCCACGAATTGAAATAGACCCAAGTCCTTGAAGGGTTTTCCTCTTCCTGTCCACGTGCAGCACCCTTCATGGTCATACCCTCGTGGAACCACTCCTTCGTGTTTCCACATCCTCACCAATTCTTAGATAGGGGTTGTCGGGTAACACTGTTGTTAAATCATTCGCTCGTCACTCTGAAACCCTGTTGATGACATTGCTGATATATTGATAAAACAATATAAATCTCTTATTTCTAAGTATATGCATACGTCTTGATATCATTGTCCGTCTTATGACGATATTATACTTAACTCCTGTACATAATCTTGCATCTTAATTGGGGTTGTAATAAGTGTTGCTGTGATACAACACTCTACTCCTGTACATCATCTTGTGTCTACGATACAACACTCTACTCCTGACATAATCTTGTGTCTACGATACAACGCTCTACTCCTGAACATCATCTTGTGTCTACGATACAACGCTCTACTCCTGAACATCATCTTGTGTCTACGATACAACACACTGATCCTGTACATCATCTTTGTGTCTACGATACAACACACTGCTCCTGTATATCATCTTGTGTCTACGATACAACGCGCTACTCCTGTACATCATATTGTGTTTACGATACAACACACTGCTCCTGTACATCATCTTGTGTCTACGATACAACACACTTCTCCTGTCCATCATCTTGTGTCTATGATACAACGCTCTTCTCCTGAACATCATCTTGTATCTATGATACAACACTCTACACATGTACATCATCCTATGTCTACGATACAACACGCTACTCCTGTACATCATCTTGTGTCTACGATACAACACACTGCTCCTGCCCATCATCTTGTGTCTATGATACAACACTCTAATCAAGTATATCATTCTGTGTCTACGATACAACACTGTACTCCTGTACATCATCTTGTGTCTATGATACAACACTCTACTCAAGTATATCATTCTGTGTCTACGATACAACACTCTACTCCTGTACATCATCTTGTGTCTATGATACAACACTCTACTACTGTACATCATCTTGTGTCTATGATACAACACTCTGCTACTGTACATCATCTTGTGTCTATGATACAACACTCTGCTACTGTACATCATCTTGTGTCTATGATACAACACTCTGCTACTGTACATCATCTTGTGTCTATGATACAACACTCTACGCCTGTATATCATATTGTGTCTATGATACAACGCTCTACTCATGTACATCATCTTGTGTCTGTGATTCAGGTCGGCTACATCAACGTCGGAGACAGCGGGGACGGACAGGAGGTCTACGTGAAGGTGTATGCTCTGGCTCTGAAGACCAAACACACAGAAGGTAGCAACTACTACTACTACTACTACTACTACTACTACTACTACTACTACCACTACTACTTTTATTGAAACAAATAATAATTACTGTTACCATGTTACCATTACCACTGCCACTACTACACAAATTCAGCTATTACTTCCATGACAACTATTTCTACTACACCATCTACCTTCCCCCGCCAATACAGTTAAACGCTGGCAAGATATACATATGTATATATACGTATACAAAACCTGATTTGTTTGTTGTTTAACGCCGCACATATTCCAGCAATATGGCAGCGATTTGTAAGTCATCAAGTCTGGACCAGACAATCAATCCAGTGATAAGTATCACGAGCATCGATCCATGCAATTGGGATACGATGACATGCATCAACCAAGTCAGCAAGCCTGACCACCCGCACGGATCTGAGTTTGCCCTCTGTGATTTAACATGAACCATGAAGACATGCGTGTCTTTATCATTGTCTATTTATAGTGAAGTGAATGTTACTCAAGCCCCAAGCCGCTGCTACAGTCTGGGGATACATGGATGACATAGCAAACTGAACGCCTCAGTTAGGCGTTGCCGAATATACAGGGCCTAGATTTTCGAAACGATCTTAGCTAAGATAAATCTTAACAACTTACGTTCAAAGATAAGATATCTTAAGGTTACGATAAGATATATTTTCTAAACTACCGTAAACCTGTCGCAGATCGTTCAGAGTTACGATACCTATCGTAACTCTGACAGAGAACTCATTTGTGTTAGAGATCGAAAAAGCGGGTGTTTCGCAATGACGTCACGGGGATTTCCCAGCTGCTGACAATAACAACAACATAGATAAGTGACACGTAATTGATGATCACACTGTCAGGTCACACTGTTTAACACGCACATATTTGAGTGAAATTCTGTACAATCCTACATATGTCCTACATGTAGACGTGTTGATCTCATGATTAAAGATGCCATGACTAACCGAACACAAAAAGCATTCGTGTGCCATGCAATAGCATTTTTCAAAGCTATTTTACCACACTTTAGCTATTAGAATGGAAATAATGTGCCAAAAGATACTTCACTGTTTTCCCTTCAAATGGTCCTCTCGTGACCGCGCATAACTTTATGATATAAACACATCGCGTACAAAGTCAAGGACGAAAGTAAGGGACGTTATTCTAAATGACAATGGCGAGACCTTTGATCGAACAGCATATGCGTTCAGCATTTAACATGCGTGTTCAAGTCTGATGTTAAGTGATGTATACTGTATATGTTTGTGTTTATGTCAAAAGTCAAGCTTATATTAGTGTTAACATCAACATTATACGTGGAAACACTCATAACAAAAAATGTTCAGGAAGCAGCGCACCTACAAGCAAGATTTTATGACAATCTAAACTTGTTAAGTTTGTTTTGTTATTTATGGATCCAATATATTTCACGAATTAACCAAGGACTTAAATACAATATCAAGCTATAATTATTTAGATGATGAAATTATTTTTTATCTATCTAGATCCATAATTCTTTTCAAAATTTAAAAGTGACTCTAATTTTCGTTCGCAAAGAGAGATAATTTCGGAACTGTCAAGTTATGTTGTCTCATGGAACACGCCACAAGTTAACGTAAACATACATGTAATGTAGTCATTTTCTATCCTTTTAAATTAAGTAGAACTAATAAACTGATTTCTCTGATTTCATTTAAATCTGACTGAGGAGCGAAATACTTTGTAATGTGTCAAACTTATTCCAGAACGTAGTTCAATTATGTTTGGCTTGTCTGACAGAATTGCTGAGGATAATTTACTAGCATTTGTCCGTTGACCCTAAACGTGACAACGATTTTATTGTTTGAATGGTCTCAAGTATATCTATATATTTTTTAAACATAAAACGGGAAGATGTAGACTTAAATATTAAAAACACCAAAACATTTTAAAACCGGTTTATTGAATGCAAAGATTATTGTGTTGAAAATGTGTATTTTATATTGTTCAGTAAACTTCATTCAATAAACTTTTTTTTCTGCGAACATATATTGGAATTTGCAAACTATGCTACATTTTGACGAGAACCAGAACGAGCATGGGAACCCAATTGTTTATTTGATTTGTCGATACGAAAATCTGTGCTTAACTTTTACTGTCAAAATTGCAGTAAATTGTTATATTTAATTGAATACATCTGTACGCCGTTAATCATTGTTTTTAAAAAATGCAATTGTTCAACAGACAGTTTTGAATCATTTTTTTATCAAATATTTGTCTTTCAAGATGATATAGATAACATAGGTATTGAATTTAAAACGAAACAAATTACAATTTCTTTTGCAAGAAAAATATTAGATATTGTATACAAATATTTGATCACATGTATTTCCTTGTTAAGTCAAGAAATACTACACTGTATAGTTAAAATTCAATTATTAAAACCACCCGTCCCACACGATTTTAGATGTAAAAACTTATGCGAAACCTTTAAGTTTTTTTTTACATAAAATTATGTAGATTGATATAATTTTATAAAATGCGAAAATAAAGACTAAAGCATTGACACAAATGCGATCCAGAAAATATAACAGCGGAACTCTGCGCTTTATGAAAACTGTAACATTGAGGAAGGTGTCCCGGGCAAATACAAAGGGAAACCACTCTCAACTAGAGTTTGAACTAAGATTAGCTCCCCCTGAGTTATCAATGAGGTCACGGTCATTACTGTAGCCTGCCGACATTTTTATCCTTCCCAAAATATCGAAAAGGTATGTTGTTTCACACTTCTTCAGCATAGATTCGGATAGAAAATATATTGTAAGTTATCCACAGTTATGTGGATCGCTGTCGCTATTAAGACATTTTTGACGTGAAATCCTTGATGCGTTCTTCGTGTTTTCGAAGTGTCAGTTTGAATCACACAGTTTTACAAAATGAAATGTCAATGTTTGAACGTAAAGAAGACTAATTGTTTGGCAAAATATCTATGGAAAAGTATGCCGCCATCTTGGATGAAGATAAAATAAGCTTACGAAAGGTAAGGGTCTGTCTTAGATTTACGACAATCTTAAGATATCTTAGGGCTACGATAGTTTTGAAAATATGCTACGATAGCCTACGATTTCCTTACGATAAATTTACGATAATATTAGGGCTACGATCGTTTCGAAAATCTAGGCCCTGGCACGTAACATTTGTCAATTGATACCCTGCACAAAACAGATAAATTTTCAATACAGGTTGAACATTAGTGTACACTATAAACCCTCACGTGTTGTGTAGAGCTTAGCACACACTACTATACTCTACCCTACGCCCGCATCTCCATATGTCAACCAACCCACAACTAACAATTCGAATTGTGTATGACAAAGCGTCACACTTTCTGCAAGTCTTATGATGAGCAGATTGCTGATGAAGTTATTTGGGAAGTTTCTCTGACAATTGTCTGACAACAAAATATGGATCTTTTATGAATTGATACCCGTAACGTGCGTTAAAACAATGCTATTCAAGTAAATCAGGCGAAATACATGTCATATCAAGTAAAATATACTAGATTAATGGCATGTCGTTAAGTAAGACATTACTCAAAGAATTACCTGACTAATTCTGTGAAGTATTGGCGATTTGGTGGGTAGAGCCGGTTTTCCTTTATACACACGAACGTTTTCTCCTAGTGTTAACTCTGATATTAATTTTAAAATACACACATTAAAGTTGCTATACAGCAGCTAAGTCTGCTTACTGGGCGTTAGAAATCAAATTTGAATTGGCTACAATAGTACATGACTTTTTGAAATCCCAGATTAAAAATACTTTTCGTATCTCGTTTTGAATATCACAATGCACGTTTTTTACGTGAAGCATTGGAAATCACGTTTCAACTGTTCCGAGGAATCTCATGAAAAACAACAACCTTAGTGCGTGGTGAATCTTGCATAATCTTCAAAGTCGGTTGAATGATTAAGTGTTCTTTGATCTATGCGTCGCGCCTACCGCAAGGTCACGCCTTCGAATATCCATCTGGTCAGTTTGTTTAAGCAAAACAGCTTTCACTCACACAGTGGAAAACATATTATTGCAAATGCAACTTATAATAAGGCTAAAAACACAGTATTTGCCGAACGATTCAATTTGTTGCTGTGTCAGGGGAAGCCGAACAATTCAATTTGTTGCTGTATAAGGGGGAGCCGAACAATTCATTTTGTTGGTGCGTCAGGGGAAGCCGAACAATTCAATTTGTTGCAGTATTAGGGGGAGCCGAACAATTCAATTTGTTGCTGTGTCAGAGGAAGCTGAACAATTCAATTTGTTGCTGTATAAGGAGGAGCCAAAAGATTCAATTTGTTGCTGTGTCAGGGGGAGCCGAACGATCCACTTTGTTGCTGTGTCAGGGGAAGCCGAACAATTTAATTTGTTGCTGTGTCAGGGGGAGCCGAACGATTCAATTTGCTGCAGTGTAAGGGGAAGCCCAACGATTCATTTTGTTGCTGTATAAGGGGAAGCTGAACAATTCAATCTGTTGCTGTTTTAGGGGAAGCCGAACAATTCAATTTGTTGCAGTATAAGGGGGAGCTGAACAATTCAATTTGGTGCTGTGTCAGAGGAAGCTGAACAATTCAATTTGTTTCTGTATAAGGAGGAGCCGAAGGATTCAATTTGTTGCTGTGTCAGGGGGAGCCGAACGATCCACTTTGTTGCTGTGTCATGGGAAGCCGAACAATTTAATTTGTTGCTGTATAAGGGGGAGCCGAACGATTCAATTTGTTGCAGTGTCAGGGGGAGCCGAACGATTCATTTTGTTGCTGTATAAGGTGGAGCCGAACAATTCAATTTGTTGGTGTGTCAGGGGAAGCCGAACAATTCAATTTGTTGCAGTATAAGGGGGAGCTGAACAATTCAATTTGTTGCTGTGTCAGAGGAAGCTGAACAATTCAATTTGTTGCTGTATAAGGAGGAGCCGAAGGATTCAATTTGTTGCTGTGTCAGGGGGAGCCGAACGATCCACTTTGTTGCTGTGTCATGGGAAGCCGAACAATTTAATTTGTTGCTGTATAAGGGGGACCCGAACGATTCAATTTGTTGCTGTGTCAGGGGAAGCCGAACGATTCATTTTGTTGCTGTATAAGGGGGAGCCGAACAATTCAATTTGTTGCTGTGTCAGGGAAAGCCGAACGATTCATTTTGTTGCTGTGTAAGGGGGAGCCGAACAATTCAATTTGTTGCTGTGAAAAGGGAAGCCGAACAATTCAATTTGTTGGTGTGTCAGAGGAAGCCGAACGATTCATTTTGTTGCTGTGAAAGGGGAAGCCGAACAATTCAATTTGTTGCAGTGTAAGGGGGAGCCGAAGGATTCAATTTGTTGCTGTGATACGGCTTGTTTAACAACACCCAGCATGTCCACCGAACCTTTTCGGTCCCAGCCACACTTTCGTGCCATTACGTATATCTCCAAGCGTTAACACCGTCTTGAGGTTTATAATTCATTTCATGTGATGCTAGACATAATGTGTCTGTTAACATTCGATAACCTACGCAATGCTCACTTTATTTTCTTCTTTAATTTCAGACACCATCGGCCACCGTTTGGACTTCTCGAAATGGTAATAGTCAGTAGAGAGAGCGCGAATACGTGTAAATATATGTTCGCTCAAAGGATGTTATTGGGCTAGGACGGAAATGTTATGTGTAGCCAATGTCATGATCTTGTATCACGGTATGGCAATGAGTGAGTGAGTGAGTGAGTGATGGAGTACAAGAGAGTGATTCAGCGAGAAATGGTTTGAGTGATAGGTTTGCACTTATTAGGGTAGAATACACGGACTGGGGCAAAATCCAGTCTGGGAAAACACGTTGTAACTACTACCGTTTGTAAAGCTCAGACAACGTTTCTATGAAGACAGGATAACTGTAATCAATCGCAAAGTATATCTTGACACTGCCCGTTATCTCAAGTCTTCAAGATGTGTCAGGCTGATATATATCAGATCAACTGTATCTCGCAGGTTCTCGTTTGTGATCACGCCCCATGGCGAGATTCTCCACGTCTACCACCCTCCCGACGACGACGATGAAGCTGTTGCCATGAAGAAGGGAGCCGCCGCCATGTTTGCTTCTCGTCTACACCAGGCCACTGAGGTAATGACTGACTGTTATGTCAAAGTTAATCAGGGGTCTTTGTCTCCAAGAGTTAAACTGGGCACCGATGGGGATTCTTGGTTAGACATGATCCCAGTTCCCTACTCTTAAAATAGGACTAATTAGGATCGAATGGTAATATGGCTGTATTTGTCGCACTATGCCTCGATGACGTAGCTTGTTCTTCATGCAGTCAACCACTGGTTGTTTTGATCCAGTCTCGATTATTCACGGGGCCACGTGATATAGCTGGAATAATGCTTAGACTGCATCTCACTGTCTTTCAAATGTCCCCGATGACATCAGTGAGCGAGTGATGGTTTACGCCGCTTTTAGCTACATCCCAGCAATATCACTACTGGGGACACCAGACAAGTGCTTTCATCATTATACCTGTCAATCAAACTCGGAGTTTTGGCGTGACGAGAGAACGCTTTAACCTTAAGGCCACCCCATCCCCCTGAAAATATCCGTCATAATGTAGTGAGTGGTCCATTCGCACAAAAACATCCTAGCATCAACGCTGTCGTAACTATAATTTTACTTTAAACAAAAAGTATCGATTGGTCTACAGTGAAACCTTCTTAACTTATCCTCGGGACTATAGGTGGGAAATACATCGAGTAACTAGTAGTTCGAGACAAGCGGATATCCGTTACTTAATCATGGTGATTTATTCTCGATCGATTCAGTTCTACCTTGTAACATCGACGTAAACGCTATATCGAGTGAACGGATGTCAACAACCATTCTTTTCTACTCCTCCCCACATAGTATTAGACTCCCTGCGTGGGCATGAGTGGCCCATCGTCCAACACACTGCCATTCTGAAGGCAGAAATACTTCCCTTGGGCGTCCCAGAACCCTATGATAATAGGTTCGAATCCCACATTCATCCTCATTACGATGCTTGGTTTGTCAGCAAATTCCAAAGTCGTTATCATCTACAACCTGCATAATTTCCCGCTTTCTTTTTGACCCACTGGAAATGTCAAGTTTTATAGTTGCGGAAACATGCCTATTTGTTTCTTACATTTACTTAGTTTTAGACTGCTGACATGATCAAATATTCTACTCAAAAGAAGTTAATAAACACTCGAGTCCTTCATATTATCATAGTTAATCTGTCATAATAGATTAGGGTGGTCTTTAACTTCTTTCGAGTAATATACATAATTAAGGCTAGAATGAGCAAAACATTAATTCTTGGGAAAATCTAAGTTTCAGCAAGTCGGTGACCCAAGTGCATATTCTACCCAATTTTTGTATTGTTTTTCAATCTACATCTACGAAAATCATATCTGGTGAAAGAATTTCTCATCCTCAAATATTAGTACAACGTTAACCGTTAGTCGCCTCTTACGACACGAATTGGTTGCTGAAGACCAATTCTAAACTGGATCTTCACAGGGCTGACAGTCACTCTTGTGCTGGAGAACTATTCTAACCACGGTCCACACGACATAAACACAAATAAAAATTTCAAGTCTCCGACACCAGTGTCTCTAACACCCTTATACATATTGCCTCCCTGTCCCGAAGTTCTGCTTCCTGGTGCAACGTCGCTTCCATTCGTACGCAGCTATCAAAGGTAACCAATAACAGCGTGGGTCTATCAATGAACAGCCGAGGCCTTTGATCTCGCCCCCAACTATGTAAGAATTACGTATTCGTGAGATCTGGGCGTTTCCTCGTTGTTATTCAGCGTCTACGAAAGTCAGTCAGTGCTAGCGCCGTATTCATATTACCCACGTAGACATATCCAACCACTGTGAAGACGTTAGGTTCATATTGTCGACGATACAATAAATATGTTTGTTTGTTTGTCGTTAACGCCGTACATAACGACGCGATATTCAAGCTATATGACGGCGGTCATATAATCGAGTATGGCCCCGGCAAACTTGTTATTGAAATTATGAGCAACGAGCAACGGCGTCGGGTGACGACAACAGGCAGTCAACTTTCGTGACTACCCGATCAACTAACGACCAGTATAAACAAGAAAGGCCTATTGTAACCAGGTGTCTCCATTCATGTCAATACAGATATGATTTTTTTTCGAAATAAGAACGTCATAATAAGGGAACAGGGGCATGGCATTCACGTGTCTACTCAATGCCTATTGATTGCTGGGGCGGTCGGGTAGCCTAGTGGTTAAAGCATTTGCCCGTCACGCCGAAGATCCGGGTTCGATTCCCGACATGGGTACAATGTGTGAAGCCCATTTCTGGTGTTCCCCGCCGTGATATTGCTGGAATATTGCTAAAAGCGGCGTAAAACCATACTCACTCACCTATTGATTGCTGAAGACGTTTATCTTATACATGTATGTAATTATACTATTCGTGTTCGTGATCAATCGTCTGCGTGATCTTACACTGCTTGCACAAAAAACATTGACAAATGTCTTATGATCTTCGTCTTTGGTGCTTATGCTATCATCCACTGGTTTACAGGGTGACCAATATTGCAGACAATACTGGTAGTTCTGATTGGGATGCAAAACAACGTTCATTCTCTCACTTCATATCATCTGGGTACAGTGTATCAGTTACACGAACTTTGACTTTCTTGGTTGTCTTTTCAGGGCCATGTCCATGCAACTGACGACGGCTGGGGCTATCACGTGAGAGAGACTGGAAGTGAGGGTAAGGATCGGGGGAAGGTTAGGGGTTGGGGATGTGTTGGGTGTCGGAGTTGGTGTGGGTGGTCGTGGAGAGGTTGTTGGTCGTGGAGGGGTTGTGGTCGTGGAGGATTGAGGCCAGGGGGTTGTGGCATTGTTGTCACGATTAGAAGTCAAATCTAAATGAAGCCAGTATCAGAGCATAACACAGGGAAGGGGAAGCACGCCTATCATATAACGAAATTGCAGGAGAACTGCTTAAAAACAGCATTTTCTGAAAACATTTTTTTATATCTTGATCATGGTTATATGTTTAATCGAAGTGCCATTGCATGCACACATGGGCAGTCACACATTCTCATTTTCCCGAGAAACTGTATAGCTGGCTGGCTGATATTTGTCCTCTTCTTTAACAGCTGACAATTTCCTGATTTTAGAACTCATTAATGCTATTTGAGTTTGGGTATCTGTAACGTTCATACTCCAGGTCCCCACAACGCCACCTACACTGTGCGGCCGACTCTCACAGGTCACGTGTTCACCAAGACACGGCACCCGGGCCACCACCCCGTCAAGCATGCGACGTCAGATTATACCAAGGTAGATGAAACATTAAACGAAAATAATGTTTGAAAGTGATATTCATATATTCCATAATTTCTCTTCCCTAATGACGATATGGCTATGATGTGAAATGCATAAGCAGGGTCAATAAGTCCTTCCGAAACGGAACGTGAGTGATTCAGATTCAACAGCTCATCTGTGTCTCTTCATCACATTGTTTTGGGCAGATAAAACACACCTGTGTCTTCATCCCATTCTTTGAGCGCACAATTAGTTTTCAGGAACGGACATTTCGCGCACGTGCTACAACAAGAGCTAATTTTTACTATGCTCGTAACCCGGCTCTTTAGAATGTTTTATCAAAGTATAAGAGTAGGGATGTGTTTTAAGTAGGGGAATATCCACGTAACACAAACACCCCCCTCACCATAATTTGTTCTTGTTGTCTTCTTTTCTTTCTGTTTACAAATCATAATCAATTAGTCACAGTTATTGCTTGACTATGCAGGCACTGAGAGTGACGAGTTCATCACTAATGGAATACGATCCAAGAACTCAAAACAACTGAATCAAATAATAAGTACCTGTTTGTGTTTAATCTGACTAAACAACATGGCGTGATATGGCAGAATAAGCTTAAATCAGGAATGTCTTCCAAGAAACTGAACCTGGGTCGAATCAATATTTATATATTAAATTGCTATAATGGTGATTTATGACTATGTTTTCAGACGTTGTATTACGACTCTGCCCTCGGGACTATGCACACCATTCAGGTGGAGGAAAAGTTACAGGTCATGCATAAGACTGCAGAAGGGTGAGAATGTTGAAGATTTCCCTATGTCATCATATTTATTTACTCCCCTCATTTAAAGTGCAAGGGTGGAGGTTGGGATGGTGGTGGGGGAAGGGGGCAGTTCGCTATGCAGAGTTGTGTCTCTTAGTCATGCTACGTGATTGTGGGTTCGAATTCTGTTTCGCCAAGACTGTGTATCTAGGTTTGTCAGCACCATAACTGTGCTCATGGGCTGCACGAAAGTGGTAAACGTCTAGTATTAGCATAAATTCTAGCTTTCCACCCACATCAAGCTGAGACGCTGTGATATAACTGAAATACTGTACACAACGCGTTGCTAATCATAAATCGTAATTAAATGACCATCATTTATCAATAATGTAGTAAGTTGGTTGTGTGGAACGCCACTTTGAAAGCATTTCAGTTGTATATCATATCATTTCAGATAAATGTGACAGTAATGTGATTGCAAGTATCAGTTTGGTAAACCTCATGTTCACGGGTGTGGTGCTCATAGACATGCCTCGAAATCCTAGTGCAAGGGCAATTGATATGTCCAGATGTTAACACTGGCGGAACGACAGTCTTACGCTAATTACAATGGCTTTGTGAAACGGGGTTCTGGCTGATTGTGTGTCTTCATCATCATCATCATCATCCTCTTCCTCAACATCAGTTTTAACCATACTGACTCTTAATAATTTAGTTAATGGGTTTAGTGTAACGCCGCTATGAAGGTATTTCAGTTATATATCCTATGATTTGAGATTAATGTGAGATAGTGACACATTGATAAACCCTACAATCACGGGTGTGGTGTTCATGGACATGTCCCTCACGGACTCAGTGAAGATAAATGCGAGGGGTGTTCAAAACGTTTTGCAACTTCATTATAAGATGAAGTCGCAGAATATCTTTTGCACTTCTATTTTTCAATGTAATCTCCACTCACCTCAATAAACTTATTCCATTTGTCCTTCAAGCTTTTAATACCACTTTTATAGAAATCCGCAGAATGGCCCTCTAACCACGCCTCTGTGGCAGCCTTTATGTCCTGGAAGCGACATCCTGGAAGCGTCTTCCAGGTGGGGCAGGTTTCTTTTGCCTGAACAGGGAATAGTCACTAGGGAATATGTCTGGGCTGTACAGTTAAATCACCCACCCTACAGCCCCGACTTATTCCCAAATTACTATTTCCTGTTCCGGCAATTGAAATCTGCCCTTTGTGCACCTGGTCTGGTGCTTGTGCAGTTGTCCATTCAGGAGATAAACATACTGTATTTCAACGTAGAGCTAGGTTACCTAAACTAAACCGAATGAGCACCACACTCAAACTGATTGCAATAGTAAGCCAACCACTATACCTATTTAGTAACGTTGATAACTATGTACATGTCTCATTATTAACCAATAGACCTATGCTTTTTTTCTCATATTTAACCAGATACAACCCATATGAAAACAGTCGCCCTGTGAAGGCGGTCAACAACTTCACGGAAATAAGTAAGCATTATCTTGTAACGATAGACCCTTACGGTAGTAAAATATATTACGGACGCTTCTACGAATGTCCATACCATCTGTTAGGATGACTGCATAATCAACTTTATGCTGTGTACTTCAACAATGACAGAGCCAAATTCAGCCAAAATTCATTCAACTAGAAGGAACTATATTTACCATTAAATGAACGCATTCAGTAAATTCATACATGGATCCAAACATTTACGCTGACGAAGGAAAAATATTTTACTGAATCATCTGATCACATGTTATCAAGAAAATAACAATTGATTGACTAATTTGTGGCAAACAAACCTTAACAATTTTCCGTTCTGTTCTTTAAGCTCTTTTAGGGCACTTAATCACGATTCGAGAAAAATAATGTTTCCGTTTTATGAAGAAGAGTGTTTTGAAAACGTAACACATAAAAGTCTAACTGAGTACTGTCTCCAGAATACCCCGAGATGTCAGCTCAAGGCACAGGAAAGTTGGTGTTCCTCAGCAGACACAAGGCCGTCAGTATTCCCAGCAGACCAAAGACAGACATCACGAGGGCGACCATTCATATCAAAGAGGTAACAAGTTTAGCTTTAACAAAAACAATCCGTTAATAAAGCAACAAAACCCTTTCCATATCCGATAGAAATCTCTGCATAAGGCAGAGTCGATAGTGCGATTCCGACAAAATCATTAGTCATGACAGCCCGATGTATGTTGAGATATTCTACAGATAGAAGGGAGAAATGGGCCTGTTCAACTGTTTACAAAACTGGCGATTTATATCCTCTGCTATTTGTGCCCTACTACTATCTACATTCATAGTCAATCGGATGCAAGAAACATTTTTGTTCAGGTGTTAAACATTTAGGAAGAACATGAACATGTCTTTTCGCACACAGCACATACATTCCTGAAAATAAAAACGTATGATTAAATCACAAGTCTTCAAGTCAGAGCTGATTAACCAATTTCCTTCATGATGTGGTCTTGTTTCTAAAGAGTTAGAGAAAGGAATGAGGCAGCATATATATAAAGAATCAATGCTTTTGAGACATTATATGTAGAGAAACTCTGTTGCGATAAACTTTAAGACAAGTAGTTATCTTGGCTTATAAAGCATACTGGCCCCAAAAAGGTTAGGGATCATGAATATTTTTGGGTATAATTTTTGCAGTGAAGAATGCATAAAATATATCTCCCAAGCCAGTGATGCTCACTTACTATTGTGTTCAGTATATATCATGTTAACGCTTTTGTCAATCGGTCAACAGACCGGATAGACAAGGAACCAATCAAAAATGAGTAAACAAAACATATGTACATGTATGTATTTTATAGAGAAAACGTATTGGACAATGAATTAAAAATGTATCTACTCGTATTGCAACGCAGCATCCTGAACGTTTGTACGTTGGTATTCCAGGTGAAGCGCAAGAAGCCAGCAATCGATGTGAAGGAACACCTGCAATATGTGAAGGGGAACCTCACTTGCATGCGAAACGAGCCAGAAAAAGGTACAGTTACGTTTATATATGTCTAGGGGTCTTCACAATGTGCAAATCCATGCAACACTGCCATGTAATATTCAAGGCTATACAGCCATGCAAATACAAGCTTCTAAATCATATAGTTGATCCAATTGTAATATATTGCATGTAACCACGACTGTCGTTTTTCAAGAAATGAACGACGAGTGGGAGTTGTTTATCGTACAATAAAACACTGCAGGGAGAATAAACCATGAGGGGCGCCGCCCCGAGTGGTCCATTCTCCCTGCAGTGTTCTATTGTCCCATCTCTCCCGCTTTTGGATGCGATTGTTCGGTCATCGCATTTATCTACGTGGAAAACCTTCATCTATGGGGAACTACTCACTAGACACTCCTTCTAAAAAAATAACGTCGTCCAATATACAACGTCATCAAGTTTCGAGCACATGTTCGAATCTCCAGAAATGACGTCCTGATAGAACAATATTTTATCTTGAAATAAGCCACACCTCGCTCTTCATTGTTTTTTTGCGATTAGAGCTATCTTATATTTTGCAATAAAAGGAGAATGTAGATTATTTAAAATGTGTTTTTTTCAGGTTCGAAGAAGTTGGACAAATGCTACACGCAACTTGTATCTGTGCTCCAAGACTTACCTGACCAGCAGTTGGTTCTCCTTGCTGAACAGTACCTGACGGATAGGCCTAGGTGAATAGACCCTTAAATTACTTACTGGGCAAAAAATGAAACAGTTTGAAGGGAATGACATTATATAGATCAATATTGTATGTGACGTCAGTTACGAAAGCAATGGTAAAAGGAATCTTCTGCGTACATGTATGGATACATATTTCGTAATGTACATAATGCATTATTTCAAATTATTTTCTTATTAAAACGGACCGGAAAACGAAGTTTATCATTTGTCATCGAAAAATGCATTTATTTTTCTTCTTTTAAAAAACCCTCAAATAAATGGTATTTGTAAACTCCATCAAACCTGAATGACATCATCTACCACCTTATTGTCTTTTTGTACACTTGATGTACAATGTAGGTCCTTTTGGATACCAGTAAATATTCCCTTCGCCCTATTTAAGATGTGAGTTCGACAGAAATGGCTGGTTGCTATGGTGCGAAAAAGCAATAGTCCTTTTATGGTGAACTCAGCGAAGATCAATTATTGTTACCCGTGTAGCTTATTTATTTTCCCCTGATGTGGTGCATAGTCTAGCACACTGGAGTGTTAGTAAACCCTCATGCTTACGGGGATATCCTCCATCTATTTCAGGCTGACCAAGACCTTCAAGGACCAGAACCATATGTTTGATGCTATCGCCAGTCTGACCACAGACCTGTCCCAGCAGCTCCTGCTAGACCTTGTCCTCAACAGATCCAGACCCGACTCCTTCCTGGTGAAGAGACTCTTGATCCACATCATCTCACTCGATGGACCACCGATAGACGTAAGTATAAACATGTGTGATATAACAGTTACAAGCTGATGCTGTACATCATCTACTTGATGGACCACCGATAGACGTAAGTGTATATATGTGTGATATAACAGTTACAAACAAATGTTGTACGTTATCTCACTTGATGGACCACCGATAGATATAAGTGTATATATGTGTGATATGACAGTTGCAAACTCATGTTGTACATCATCTACTTGATGGACCACCGAAAGATGTAAGTGTAAACATGTGTGATATAACAGTTACACGCTCATGTTGTACATCATCTCACTAGATGGACCACCGATAGACGTAAGTGTATATATGTGTGATATAACAGTTACACGCTCATGTTGTACATCATCTACTTGATGGACCACCGATAGATGTAAGTGTAAACATGTGTGATATAACAGTTACAAGCTGATGCTGTACATCATCTACTTGATGGACCACCGATAGACGTAAGTGTATATATGTTTGATATAACAGTTACAAGCTGATGCTGTACATCATCTACTTGATGGACCACCGATAGACGTAAGTGTATATATGTCTGATATAACAGTTACACGCTCATGTTGTACATCATCTCACTAGATGGACCACCGATAGATGTAAGTGTAAACATGTGTGATATAACAGTTACAAGCTGATGCTGTACATCATCTACTTGATGGACCACCGATAGACGTAAGTGTATATATGTTTGATATAACAGTTACATGCTCATGTTGTACATCATCTACTTGATGGACCACCGATAGATGTAAGTGTAAACATGTGTGATATAACAGTTACAAGCTGATGCTGTACATCATCTACTTGATGGACCACCGATAGATGTAAGTGTAAACATGTGTGATATAACAGTTACAAGCTGATGCTGTACATCATCTACTTGATGGACCACCGATAGACGTAAGTGTATATATGTGTGATATAACAGTTACACGCTCATGTTGTACATCATCTCACTAGATGGACCACCGATAGACTTAAATGTAAACATGTGTGATATAAAAGTAACAATCTCATGTTGTACGTTATCGCACTTGCTGAACCGCTGAAAGACGAAAGTGTAAACATATGTGGTAAAATATACTCTTAAAAAAAAGAAACTTGATATAAATGTAAAACCACTTTTTGCCAAATATCTAAAATGATTACATTAAATGAGAACCAAATAAGTCGAACAGAAAGATGATGTGTCTATAATTCGCGAAAACACATGCAAAGCACATAAACGTAGCGTTTGGGATCAATTCTACGCAAACGCAACCGCCTGTAAAAAAACGTGCAGCACAGGATCCTGCATTTAGGCATGAAGGCCCCCCTGCTGAATGGGTATAACAATCAACACCAACGGCTGTTCATACAGTCCTTATAACGGCAGTAGAGGCGGTGACAGAATGCCAAGACTGAATGCAGCTCATAGGAACAACGCCATTGGGAGATTACAAGCTGGAGCAACTCTGCAAGAAGTGGCCAGGCACTTTGGCGTATCCAAACAGACAATCTCCGCACTGTGGACCCGATACAACACCAACAGAGTTGACGACAGACCAAGGTCAGGAAGACCAAGGGTGACAACCCAAGCACAAGATCGATACATCCGGCTACGACACCTCCGAGACCGCACTACCACAGCCACTTCTACAACCACACTGATCCCTGGGGTACGCAGAATATCAGATCAAACGGTACGCAACAGACTGAGGGAGGCTGGACGTTTTGCACGAAGACCTGTTCGACGTCATGTATTGACCCCACGTCATCTGGCGGACCGTCTGCTTTGGTGTCAACAGAGGGTTAGACGTGCAAGGTGGAGAAATGTACTGTTTACTGACGAGTCCCGTTTCCTACTCAAACGTGCTGATGTGTGCGCACGTGTCTACAGACGTCGGTGGTGGGACGCCTCTCGTGCATGTGGGAAAGACGCCTCTCGTGCATGTGGCAGGTGCATTGACAGGTGTGCGTTACAGACACTTGATCCTACAGCCTTACGTTCTTCCTCACGTCAACGTTCATGGCGGACAGTTCCAGCAGGACATCGCTCAAACGCATATTGCACGTGTTTGTCAGGACTTCTTACAGCACAACAACATCCAGACATTACCTTGGCCAGCCCGGTCACCAGATTTGTCCCCGATTGAACATCTGTGGGACGAGTTGGATCGACGCGTTCGCAGAAGGAATCAACAGCCCCAAACACTTGAGGGGCTTCTTGATGCACTTCAGCATGAATGGCAGCACATCCAACACCGTGTTATTGACAACTTGATTGCATCTATGGGTCGTCGGTGTCAAGCGGTGATTGATGCACGTGGTTGGTACATTTGCTGTACCCCTGTGACATTAACTGTATCGTGTACGTGTATCGTACACGATTAATGTTTTGAACATTGTGTACATTTATCTTCAAACAGTGTTTCAATTATGGTTTCTGTGTCCTATTTTGAAACAATCGCATTATATTACATTTTGAAAGTCAGTGTCAAGTTTCTTTTTTTTAACAGTATAGTTACAAGCTTATGTTGTACACTGGACCATCGGTTCAGAGTCATATCTGCAGCGTTAAAACCGTGTCCTTTAGTCAGGATTAAACAGAAAAGCGCCGAGTGTGGTGTGTAAATGTGCAGACGAATTTGCTATAGCAATTTTTCCTTTAGTTTTACTCGATGTTACACGAAGTCTGAAGTCTCCACAAATCAAGTAACTGTTATTCTTCGCAAGAATGCTGATCCAGCAAAGTGTTATTAACTTTGGTAGCGGCGAATTAGGCTTCTATGACCAGTTATAGTGTTACTTCACTGAGTGTCAAATTAACGTGCGAAAAAGTCCAAAGGAAACTGAAATGATGCGGTTTGAACTTATATCTACGATTATTCGGGTATTTTTTTACATTTTGTACAGAATATCATCACGAAACTGAAGAGCCTGTGTTTTGAGCGCAAGAAGGCCCCCGTGGCTTTACAGGGAAGCGACATATATCACAGAATGGTGCTGGCATTGGGGGTGGTTGCTAGGCGACTGTTGGACACTGGGAGGAAGGAGGAAGCGGTTGATATTGTCCTGAAGCTGGAGGGTTGGCTCGGATTGCACGGTGAGCATAAGGGTTTGATTTAGTGCACATGAACATATACTAACGTGAATGCACAACCAGAACTGGGTTCCATAAATTATCACTGAAATTGCGAGGAATAATTCACACATCTAGCGTGTTGTTAAGTCGAATTACCGGAGATGGTTACAATATTAAACCCACAAGCAGTCGTGTCGTGAGAGTGTCACACGTTAGATAAGTACTATTTAACAGAACGACATCTGGTATTTTAACCATAAGACAAACTATACCGAGTCATTGCCACATTATTAAGATTATGAAAGTGAGTCAGGAGACAATTAACAATTACAAGCCTTCTTCGAGGCAAGTCTATACATTACAATGTATAAGTGTTGGGCTGCAGGCAAACAATCTTCTTTATGTACTACCCAAAAGTGCTTTCCGGCCAGAATAGGTTCCTATGTTTGTCGTAAGACATGTAAGACATGTCATCGTTGGCTCTGTGGCTCTGTTGAATGTGTTCGTCGTACCCGATGGCTTGGACCTTTGCCTATTCTAGTCGTAGGTTGTCAGTGACTGAGTCAACCGACTGACATAGTTTTAATATTACTGACTGTAGCTCTAAAATCATTCACTAACTTACAGTGTGGTCATGATTTAGTTGTTGATTACTCATCTGTACATCTGTTCCAGATCCCTGGCTGTTCCGCCAAAAACGGTCCACCATGACAGAACGTGAAGTCCTTAATGACGACCGCTGGAGAGTTATCTTGCTGGGATCTCTGGGTAATGCCGGTCTCGACCAATCATTTGAGATGATTGTGTCACATGTCAACACCACCAACTCTCAGTGGGTGAAGCGAGCTGGGATTCACGCCATGAGGAAGTACCGACACGAAGGGGTATTGAAAATAATTTCTAACTTTAAAAAAATACTTCAAATGATTTACAAATTTGAGACAGTACATTTTCAATAGCGTGTATTTTCTGTAACGAAATCTCTAAATTTTGTAAGTTCCCATGACCATACTTTAATTTCAAGTAGAATCTTTAATTATATTGTCTGACCATGCCAAATCACAATCTTACATCTTCAATATTTGTTCCATTTCGATCGATGCTCGAACTTAGGATACAAAGTTTGTACATTATTTTGGCAACAAATATAAACAGGCATGGTTAAGTCTCTCAGCAATGTCGAGCACGACCTCAAATGGGCATGCGATATATCCCCTGTTGCAAGCAGCAAATCTGATGTTGAAGACAGTTATGCATGTATGAATGGTACATCACTTGTTGCAGGCAGCACGTCTGATGTTGAAGACAGTTATGTATGTATGCATGATATATCATCTGTTGCAGGCAGCACATCTGATGTTGAAGACAGTTATGTATGTATGCATGATATATCATCTGTTGCAGGCAGCACGTCTGATTTTGAAGACAGTTATGTATGTATGCATGATATATCATCTGTTGCAGGCAGCACGTCTGATGTTGAAGACAGTTATGTATGTATGCATGATATATCATCTGTTGCAGGCAGCACATCTGATGTTGAAGACAGTTATGTATGTATGAATTATATATCCCCTGTTGCAGGCAGCACATCTGATGTTGAAGACAGCCCTGTACGATGACGACGAGAAGGTCCGATATGAAGCTCTGCTACAATACCAGGCACACCCAAAGGCTGCCATAATCGCTCCCATGTACAGACAAGAAGGGTGAATGTTGAATGAGATTGTGTGATAAAAGAATTCATACATAAACATTTTTCGGGGCACCAAAGCTAGTAGCTCATGGTGTACCAGCATGTATAAATATTACCTCGCTCAGTACTTCACTGGGGCGCTGGGAAGCTATGTGGCTAATTTCTCTTCTTCCAGACTCGTCATGAAAAGCTTCACAAAAGTTTACTCTCTTACTCACTCAATCATTTCTGTGTACCTCTGGCTTCTTAATTGGGGTGGCAATGATCACCTGGTTATCACGCTATCTACTTTACAGTTGCATCCTTCAGCTACGTTAATATCCACTTGAACCCCATTACCGTGTACGTTGGCATCACCTTTGACTTTTTGAGTTTTTCTTTCACATTGAACTGATTTTACGCAACTTTAAAACTGTTGAAAACATACTCCACTGACACATTACAGTCCCATAAATGGATCAACTCTTCACCTGACATATACATCCATTTCAGAGCCATAAATGGATCTTTCTTTCACGTGGATCCCCGCTATGTTGGCAAGCGGAACATTGAGGTACACGACAGACACAAAAGGGGATTCTTTGATGAGAAGATAGAATTCATACTGGCTTCACCAAGTGTAGACTGGAAGAAGATGCTTGGGTCAACAACCATTGGAGCGTCCTTTGGACTGATTATGAACAACGCTTTAGATTTCAAAATAGGTATGCTCATGTCAATGCCATACATGTATATACCCTAATATCGTATCCACATTGTTCATGATAAGACGGCTAATATAATAAATATTCATTATTTACGTAATTCAGATTCCAATGTAGACGTTATAAAACATCATTGTTGACGTTGATAATTATGTCAGGTTGACATTTGAAAACATTTGCCGAATACCAAACCCAATTAATGTTGAAGCTATCGAAATCGAAGTGAAAGCAATTCGTAATTCCTACATTTGAAGGATTCTTTGGAACGGGGGGAGGGGGGGGCGGGGGATTTGACATGCAATTTTTTATATTATTTGTCTCTATAAAGTCTGTATACTGTATCTGACAGTTTGGAATAAACGTTTATTATTCTTCAAAGCTTGAAAAGAGTGCAATTCCTTCCAGTGCCATTGCATATGATCACTGCATGTTACAGCGGCTCTGAGCGGGCACATGCGAGTGAACATCCACGATGAAGCTTTTGCCCGCATCCACCTTGGCTTCATTGACAGGAACATAGAATTCTTTATGGCGAGGATCTGCTTCAAGGGAGGAGCGTCTTACAACCTGAACATGCTGCAGGTGACCTCACAATGCAACCCGCATTCTTCTGTGGGGTTGAGTCTGCTCAGCTTAATCACTGTAGAAAACAGCTTTTGTCTGTGACATTTGAGATACTGGAGATCTCAAATGCTCCCAAAAAGTTAAAACCATCCCACATTGCCACTCAACTATTTAGGAATACCACCAGTTGTCACTTCCCCACCCCAACCCCTCCCTGTCCACAACCCCTACGTGCATAATGTGGCCGTTCAGGGCCTAGTGGAGTACCCACAACCTGTGAGCATATGACTTTAATGTGCCTTTACACTTTTCCAATATTGTTTCCAACGTCTAGCGTTCTATTATATGTCTACACTCAGTCGTATTAGTAGTCAAGGCGTCTGGTGCCCTACAGTGTAATAGGAAGAAATGGTCATAGTCAAAATGCCAACAAAATGAATATCACGTCATATTAAATCTAAAAACATTTAAAAAAGAGAATATCTCTTGCAACTAGAATATTACATTGTTCCTTATGTGATTCGCAAAGATGTCTTAGGGTTTGCTTTAATTGTGCACTTCTGGACGTCCGTGTCCCTGTTGCAGGAGTTCGGCGTAGACAACCTCAAGAAACTGGTTGAGCTCTACGACGCTGTTAAAGGTGATACTGCTGGCGCTCTAGGTGCAGGTCTGGATCTTTTCAAGAGAATCGTCAGAGGGGAGTTCTCGTTTACTGACATGATAGAAGGTTTCAGGGCGGCACTGGAAGAGCTACCAGATAAGGTGGAAGTTTTGAGATCATTTAGCAATTTATCATTTAACTGATAGTGTTGCTTTGTGATAAACTGATAAGATAAACTTAGTAGCATGGGCCTAGATCAAACTACACATGACAAGCTCTATACATCGACGCAATGTCTACATGTTACTTAACTTTAACATACAAAATGTAGCAATAATATTACAATGTATGAAGGGGGAGGTTGCCTCTAGCATGTTATTGATAAGCGATCTCTGCAGTTACTTTAACGAGTGAAGTTTGTAAAGAATGCAATGCTCCGAAGAAAAAGGCTTTCACAGTACATTTTTCATGCCTTATATAGGATATTCATGATCCAGAGACAACTCGGCTAATATTCTCTCTTTGCATGGTAATAATTGGAAATTCACTCCACACAGAATAAACATGTCGGTGTAAGTGAACACTTGATGTCATCACTAAATATCAGTTATCCATCCATATAATTTTCACGGCTGTTTTGTCTGTTACGCCCAATTGATTCTGCTTCAATGGATACTCCATACTGGTTATCATTTTACGTTGACGTTTCTTATTTAAAGTGAAATTATGTCAAGATGTCATGACCAGTTTGATTACAAAATTATAGCCTTAGTCGTGTAGCATTTCGTAAAGAAAATTGACTGTAATGGTTGATGAAGTACAGATTGAAAACAAAAACATGTGGATTTTAACAAGTATTTTCTTTTTGGCAAGGAAAATATACATGATTCACATTCGACTTATATTCTCTTAGCAATGTAGATGTTCATGTATGGATGGTATGATTCAGGTTGTCAGTGTTGGGAAGAAGGCATCAGACGCTATGGAAGTCCTTGGCCAGCTGGATGAGAAACAGCTGCCTCCATTTGCTGAACCTGCCAGGAACCTTGTGTTGAAAATCACAAACCTTTACAAGGAAGTCAAGTCATCGGTGCTCAGCTTTTACAATGTAAGCATACTGAACAACAAAAGTTACTGTGACATTGAATACGATTTAATGCAAAGTTATGTATTTTACCAAATCTGAAACAATTTCGGTTTGCAACAGATAGAAGAATCATGCAAATGTTCAAATGGTTGAATTTGCCATACTGACTTCCGAAAATGCGTGATTTCATAAAAAAAACATGAACATGCCAAAATGTCA